TCCCAGAGCCCTTGACCATCATGTTATGGGGTTTCCTTTGCTGGGATCCCTGTCTTACACCCTCCATCTTAGTCTGAAATCTCAGATTTCTGTTGCAGAGGGAGGGAGGGTATTTTTAAACCGACTAGAATATTCTCTTGTAAAAATGGGGAGAGAGTGGGGTGCAGCCACTTTGGAAAACAGTCTGGCAGTTTCTCAAAAAGTTAGATACAGTGTTATCATATGGCCTAACAATTCCACTCCTAGGTATACACATAAGAGAATTGGAAGCAAGTGCTCAAAGGCTTGTACACAACTGTTCACAGCAGCACTAACCACAATAGTCAAACGGTGGAAACAACCCAGTGTCCATCAAGTGACGAATAGATAAAACATGGTCTATCCATACAATGGAATATTATTCATAAAAGGGAATGAAGCACCGACTTGCTACAACATGAGTGAACCTCAAAAACATGATGCCAAGTAAAAGAGGCTAGTCACAAAAGGCCACATATTGTATGATCCCATTTATATGAAATGTCCAGAACAGGCAAATCCATAGAGACTGAAAGTAGTGGTTGCCAGGAAAGGGGGATGGGCGACTGAGTGCTTAGTGGTTATATGATTTCCTTTTGGGGTGATGAACATGTCTTGGAACTAGGTAGAGAGTGGTTTTGCAACCTTGTGAATGTACTACTAGTGAACGCTACAGATCTATTTACTTTAAAATGGCTGATGATTAATTTTATGTTATGTGAACTTTATCTCAGTTGGAAAAAAGTGGGGAGAGAGGCCAATAACTCAGCCCTCCCCCACCCCCTTGGCCTGGCTGGGTGATAAATAGGCCCACAGCCCTCTTCCCTCCCCACTGGCCCTCAGTCTTACAGTTCAGACCCCTGGGTGCCTCGTTTCTTGTTTGTGATTATGAAAGTAAAACCACCTCATTAAAATCTGGGAAACTCCAAGGTGTTAAAAGACAAAACCAACCAATGAGGCCCCAGACCCAAACAGCAATGATGGGTAGAGGGGGGTTCAGGCAAGTCAGACCCCAGATTCGGGTCCTGGTCCCAGCTTTTAACACCCACCAATGTGTGTGTGACCTGAAACATGGTCCCTGGCTCCTCTCTGCCTCAGTTTCCTCATCTGTGTGTGAGAACAGTGTCCCCTCTCTTCAGGTTGTTGTGAGGATTGACTGACATACTCGGCATAGAAGTGTCTCCAGCACAATGACGTACACTAGAAACAGGCACTAAGTGGCCATGTGTGGCTCTCACTCATTTTGTAGCTGGGGTTCCCTCTAGTTCTTAGTTCTTGGTGTACATTTGGGTTCACCTGCCATCCTCACACTGCTCAGACCGCTTTAGCCTCCCCTCCACTTCTCCCAGTCACCATAGCCAAGAGTGTCTTGCAAATGACTGCCGCTTTCTGACCTCCAGTTCACCATCGCTGAGACTTTCTTCCCAACATTTTTCAGAATCCCGTGTCACTCACATGTGATGGTTTTCCTGGAGAAAGTGATGGTTTTCCTGCAGAGAGGCTATTTCCATAGGGGACATTCCCAGAAGCAGAATGTGCTCCGGCTCAAGGTCATACCACGGGTCACTGGCACTCCTTGGTCATCTGCACCTAAAGTTCTCATTTGCTTTGATGAGGCCAGCCTTGCTGAATCCCTCAAGAGCCGTGGAGTTGTAACTTGAGAGATTTTTCTGCTGGGAATGGAACCACGTTCAGACTCTTGTCCCAGTCCTGCCCTGGGCCCTGCCCAGCCCCACTTCCAGCCTCCAAGCCTTGACAATGAAGGTTAAGCCTCTTGTCAGATGCGTAGACAGTGGGGGAGTAGAAGAGTGTGGGCAGAGAGGGACAGAGGCTGGTTGGAGCACGGGACAGGTAGTAAGTGTATTGGGCAGAGTTGAGTGGATGGACAGAACAACCCTAATCGTTTACTGGCACACAGTCACGCCCTCCCCTTTCTGCTTTCACAGCTGAAGAGTAGCTGCAACAGAGGTCTTATGATCTGCAAAACCTGAAATCTGTTTATTGTCTGAGAACTATTTATCAACATCTGAGACCGAGGATGGCTTAGGGCTTGCAAACTCAGGTGCCAGGAAATAGGTGAGAAAAAAGTGAGATGGATTTGGTGTAAGAAACATCAGGGAGCCCGGCTGGTGTGGCTCAGTAGTTGAATGTCGACCTATGAACTAGGAGGTCAAGGTTCGATTCCCGGTCAGGGCACATGCCCAGGTTGCAAGCTCAATTCCCAGTAGGGGACATGCAAGAGATAGCCAATCAAGGATTCTCTCTCATCATTGATGTTTCTGTCCCTCTCCCTTCCTCTCTGAAATCAATAAATTTTTTTTAAAGAAACATTAGGGAAGGCTGAGGACTGTAGCAAATTGAAGAGCATATGGCCCAGCTAGAGGGCAGCTTGAATCAGCGATGGGCTGGGCCCAGAGTTGCCAGGACTTACAATCTCTAAAATAACATTGGAAATCTAGATCTTTGTGTGAATAAGAAAAGAGACCAGAGAAGATGAGCCCGTGGCCTCAGATTTCATCTCTGCCATTTCCTCATTGTGTGACCTTGAACAATCCCCTTGACTCATGTATACAGGGGGTTATCTATAAACAGTATAGTAACAGCACATGTTTCATGGGCTATGATGATTATTAAATAAGTTCTCCTTCTGTGGCCCCTAGAACAATGCCAGGTGATTAAGTATTTGCTAAATTGATGCTTTGATTTTTCAATGCTGCCAATTTAAAACACTATGATACCAGCAATGGATAGACCAAAGAAAGTACGTGGATGTTCTGCTTTAGATAAGTTTGCATCCCCTGGCAGAGTGGCTAAGGGAGATGAACTTGGAAGCCAGAGAGACTGGCTGAATGAAGCCCAGATCTGCCACACATACCATCTGGGTGACCTTGGGCAAGGGACCTGCCCTGGGCACCTGGGTTCCTGACTATAGTCCTAGGCCAGCGGTTCTCAACCTGTGGGTCGCGACCCCTTTGGCAGTCGAATGACCCTTTCACCGGGGTCGCCTAAGACCATCCTGCATATCAGATATTTACATTACGATTCATAACAGTAGCAACATTACAGTTACGAAGCAGCAACGAAGATAATTTTATGGTTGGGTCACAACATGAGGAGCTGTATTTAAAGGGCCAGAAGGTTGAGAACCACTGTCCTAGGCCAAAGTCGTGAGGATTGCAGGGTAGTGTCTCGAACGGGCCTGGAGGAGCAGCTTACCTGTCCCTGCCCTCGGCTCCCTGCTGCAGAGGAGCCCAAGAGGTGTCACAGGGAGCAGTGGGGCTTTGATTCTTCAGTTAACTGTCACCCTCTCCCCTCCCCCTCACCACAAACGCCAGGATCTGCCAGGACAGGGCAGCCCCTAAAGCTCCCACAGGAGCCCAGGGCCTCAGGTGCCACACGAGGCTGCTTCTCTCTCTGTCTCCGACAGATCGGCCGCTGGACTTTGCTGGGGTAGGGTCTGAGCAGAGAGTCTGCCTGGGCATGGCTGAGTCTGGAGTGGGAGCTGGGGTACAGGAGGAACAAACCCCTGGGAAGGTGCATATCCAGATGGGAGTTCAGTCTCCTTCCAGAGGCAGCTCCCCTGGGCACTGCTCACCAAACCCCTTGGGCCATGGGCGCCTGGAGGATAGACGGACCAGGGGCCTAATGTGTGGGAGTATCTGGAAGCAGGAGTCAGGGTTCAAAATGAGAACTCAGTTGTTCCTCCTGGGAGCCCCAGCAACCTCTTCTCCCCACCTCCCCCAGATACCAGGCATCGTTGGGCCCTTGGCCCCATGGACCCCCTAAGGCGATCCCTCTCCCCCTGCTCATCAAGGCCCACCTCCTGCGAGATGCTTGGTTATGTGGGCATCGAGGCCGTGCTGGACCAACTGAAGATCAAGGCCATGAAGATGGGTTTTGAGTTCAACATCATGGTGGTGGGTGAGTGAGAGGCGGGGCTCACAGGAGGACCAATGGGCCAGGGCATGTCGCCTCACCTCTTGGGGCCTTGTAGTTGAAAATCTGGGAAACACTGAGTTGAAAGACAAAAATCACCGATAAAGCCGCAACCAAACCCAAACAGAGCAGTAAAATCTAGGCCGAGGCGGGAAGTGCTGAACGCCCCACTCAGATCCTGGTCCCAGCCCTAAGTCCCCCAACCAGCAGGGAGGGATCTTGTGCACAGCCTATGACCTCTCTCTCTCTGCCTCAGTTTCCTCATCTGGCTTAACACAGTGCCTGGCGTTTAGTAAGTTTTCCCCGGGTCAGTTTATCTGGCATTACTTCTTTTTTTTTAATTTATCTTTATTGTTGAAAGTATTACAGATGGCTCCTCTCCCCCTCCCCCCTTCCATTGACTCCCTCTACCCCGCACCTGCCCTGGAATTGCTTTCTTATATATTCACAATTGATTTTGTAGGTCAATACTATACTTTTTAATTTTTTAAAATTTATTGATTAATTTTAGAGAGACAGGAAGGTAGGGAGAGAAAGAACATTGATTAGTTGTTCCACTTATTTATGCATTCATGGGTTGATTCTTATATGTACCCGAATTGGGAATGGAACCCAAAACCTTGGTGTATCAGGATGACACTCTAACCAACTGACTACCCGGCCAAGAAACTACTATACTTTTAACAAAACAAACTAGATAAAACAAGACACAAAATATTGGAGTGTGTATCTCCAATTAAGGACACTATTCTAAGGCAGCACTGTATAATAGAAATGTAACGTCAGCCATATATGTAATTTTTTTCACATATGTAATTTTTAAATTTCCTAGTAGCCACTTTTTAAAAAGTAAAACAAAGTAAAATTTTGTTGTTGTTAATCTTCACCCGAGGATATTTTTCCACTGATTCTTAGAGAAAGTGGAAGGGAGAGGAGAGGGAGGGGCAGAGAGAGAAACATCGATGAGAGAGAGACACATTGACTGGTTACCTCCCTCATGCGCCCAGACCAGGCGGAGGGGATTGAGCTTGCAATCAGAATCGTTTCCTTGATCAGAATCGAAATCCTGGGGATGTGCCTGCAACCAAGGTACATGCCCTTGACCAGAATCGAACCTGGGACCCTTGAATCTGCAGGCCGACGCTCTAGCCACTGAGCCAAACTGGTCAGGGCAATCATCTATTTTATTTAACCCAATATGTGCCAAAATCCTATTATCTCATCATGTAATCCATCTAAAAATTAATGATATCTTTTACATTCTTCTTGTCTTATCAAATCTATAAAACCTGGTTTGTATTTTCCATTGAGGGTACATCTCAATTCAGATTTGCCATATTTCCATGTGGAATAGCCAAGTGTGGCTTCTGTGTTGGACAGAACAACCCTAAGGACAATTTGGTTTTATACACAAAGGTGTGTCCTGGGTTTACAGTAGGATGTTTCCTAGTGGGAGATGTTGTTCACAGAGTTGGAGAGGTACCTCACAACCCACAGGCAGGATGCAAGAACCTCTCCAAGTAGCTAAAGAAGCCAGACACAGAAGAGTAGCTGCTGAGTGATCCTCTAGGTCAGTGGTTGGCAAACTGTGGCTCGCTAGCCACATGTGGCTCTTTGACCCCTTGAGTGTGGCTCTTCCACAAAATAGCACGTGCGGACGAGCATGTACAGTGCGATTGAAACTTCGTGGCCCATGTGCAGAAGTCAGTATTTTGTGGAAGAGCCACACTCAAGGGGCCAAAGAGCCACATGTGGCTCGCCAGTCGCAGTTTGCCAACCACTGCCCTTGGTCAAGGGAGGAAAGAGCTGCCTCTGCTGTTATAAGCTAAGAGAGTGGCAGTCCCTGGGGGACGGGGTTAATAGTTGCTGAGATGGGGCATGAGTGAGCTTGTGGGGAGCTGTGTGTTTTGTGATCTGGTGTTTCGTACACAGGTGTTTCATTTGTAAAAACTTGACCTGCCCATTTTATATAATAAAAGGCTAATATGCAAATAGACCAAATGGCGGAACAACCAAACAACCAGTCGCTATGACATGCGCTGACCACCAGGGGGCGTGTGCAGAACATGGTGGGCATTGGCTGAGGTGGGATGGGGAAGCAGGTGAGAGGGGGCACTAGACCAAGGTGGGCACTGGTCGCGGTCATGGGGGCGAGCCTCCGGAGGTTACTGAAAATTCTTTGCTGCAGCGCACCGTGGTCCCGCCCAGCGCTCACACCTGCTGCCAGCGCTGGCCCTGCTCACACCCGCTGCCGGCGCAAGAGCTGCTGTTTGCACCCACTGCTGGTGCCTGGTGCCAGTCCCGATCACTCAGCACCATCAGCGGCGCCTGTCGGTCCTGATCACCCCTGAGAACCTTCCACCTCCGCCCTGCTCCTGAGGGGTAATTGGGGCAGCAGCCGCCACTCGCACCCGCTGCTGGCACCAGTCCCAATTGCTCTGCACCGTCAGCAGGTTCGAGTGGGACCGGTGCCAACAGCACGTGGGAGCAGCAGCAGCGGAGTGGGGCTGCCAGCAGACGGGACTGGGACCGTGGTGGGAGGGGCCAGACAGGGGCACGGAGGATGGGCCGAGACCCACCCCTGTGCCTACCGCAGCCTCGTGGCCCACAGTTCCTTTCAAGGTGCACGGATTTGTGCACTGAGCCCTTAGTCAACACATAAATGGATAAACACAATGTGGTCTGTCCATCCTGTGGAATATTACTCAGCTATAAAAAAGAATGAAACAGTGCCTTGGCCAGGTGGCTCAGTTGGTTGGAGCATCATCCCATACAGAAAAAGGTAGTGGATTCTATTCCCTGTCAGAAAACATACCTAAGTTTCTGGTTCAATCCCTGTTTGGGGCACATGGGGGAGGCAACCAATTGATGTTTCTCTCTCACAAAGATATTTCTCTTCCTCCCTTTCTCTCTCTCTAAAATCAATAAAAACATATCCTTGGGTGAGGATTTTTTTTACAAGAGTGAAGTGGTGACATATACTACAACATGGATGGACTTTGCAAACATTAAGCTGAGTGGGAGAAGCCGAATTCAAAAAGACAAATATTCACGAATCTATTTACATGAAATGCCCAGAGTGGTGAATCCATAGAGACGGAAAGTAGGTTGGTGGTTACTGGAGGCTGGCAGAGCCACGGGAAGTGGCTGCTTTAGTGAACAGAGTTTCTTTTGGGGAGGCGATGAAAACGTTTTGGTGCTCGATAGAGGTGGTGGTTGCACAACACCACTAATGCACTAAATGCTACCGAATTGTTCACTTTAAATGGTTACTGGTTTCCCAGCTGATATGGCTGGGTGGTTGCCCATCGACCTATAAACCAAAAGGTCATGGTTTGATTCCTGATCAGGGCACATGCTCAGGTTGTGGGCTCGATCCCCAGTGTGGGACTTGGTGAGGCAGCCGATTAATGATTCTCTCTCACCATTGATGTTTCTATTTTTCTCTCCCTTGATCTCTGAAATCAATAAAAATATTTTTAAAGAACAATAAAATAAAAAAATAAATGGTTACTGATTAATTCTTTTATTATATGAATTTTGCCTCCATAAGAAATGGGGTAAACATTGAGGTGAACACTTAGGATAGTATGCACTTTTTTATATTTATGATATACGTAGAAAACTGTTTACTTTCTAAAAAGATTTATGAGTTTAAGAAACACTGTCTAAAATATCCACCATTATTGCTGTCATCTGGTTACTCCCAGGGCAGAGTGGGCTGGGCAAGTCCACGATGGTGAACACACTGTTCAAGTCCAAAATATGGAAGTCCACCCCATCGGGCCTGGCGCTGGGGCCCATGCCCCAGACGCTGCAGCTGCACTCGATGACCCATGGTGAGTGAGGCCCCACCCTCACCCCTACCCCCGCCTTGTCCCACCCAGTCCAATCCCTTCCTCCCTCCACTCTCCTCCACAGTCATCGAGGAGAAAGGTGTGAAGCTCAAGCTGACCGTGACCGACACGCCTGGCTTTGGGGACCAAATCAACAATGACAAGTGGTGGGTCCCCTGCCCCTGCCCCTGAAACATTCCATCCTTGGAACAACCTGACTGTGGTACCTTGGAGCCTCAGTTTATTCGTTTGTATAGTGAGTGCACACAACTCTCCCTCCAAGATCGAAGGGAGTCAGCGGGTAAAGGTTTTAGCCACTGCCTGGCACACAGAAAGCACTCAGGAAAGGTATAAGCAGGGGATAGAAGCCCACACTCGGGACCCCTGGGTTAGACCACTTTCCAGCTGCACAACCTGGAACTAGTCACGGAAGCTCTCTGAGCCCCGGTTTCCTTTGTGACTTGGGAATGATGACACCCACCTTGCAGAGCTGTTCAAGGCTCTAAATGAGACAGACACGCAAAATCAGGACCGGCTGCACAATCCGTGGGACCCAGTGCGATGAAAATGTGGGCTCCCTTGTTCAAAAATGATCAAGAATTGTAAGAACAACCGCAGAACAGTCCACCAAGCCTGGGCCCTTCTCAGTACAGATCCCTGGGCTCCATGCACTCCAGTGAAGCCGGCCCAGCACCACATGCTTTGTTGAGCATTTGCTACGTGCAAGCTCTGTTCTAGAGCAATAAACAAAACAGGTGATCATCCTTGCTTACATGGAATTTACCTTGTCACAGGGGGGAGGGACAGACAATGAACAAAATAATCAATTAATCCGAGAGAGAGCCTGAACTCTATCATCCAAAGAGGATGTTTCTAAGAGCGACACAGCTACAGAGCTGTAGGGGGTTGCAATTTTAAGCAGAGTGCTCAAGAAAGATCTCCCAGAAAGGTGACATTTGGACACAGATTCCAGGAGATGAGAGGATGAGCCATGTGGACATGGGGGAAGGAGTGTCTGAGGCTGAGGGTGGCACGTGCAAAGGCCCTGAGGTAGGCAGGCTGGTGTGGCTGGCAGGGCAGGAGGAATAGGGAGAGGAGGAGGAGACGGCAGGCAGGAAGCAGTGGTGAGAGTATAGGGCAGTGGTCGGCAAACTCATTAGTCAACAGAGCCAAATATCAACAGTACAATGATTGAAATTTCTTTTGAGAGCCAAATTTTTTAAACTTAAACTATATAGGTAGGTACATTGTTATTAACTTAAGTAGGGTACTCCTAAGGCTTAGGAAGAGCCACACTCAAGGGGCCAAAGAGCCGCATGTGGCACGCAAGCCGCAGTTTGCCGACCACTATACTATAGGGCCCTGTAGGGCAATGTAAGGACTGGCTTTTGTTCAGTCGCTAGAGGCTGAGCAGGAAAGGGACACAATCTAACTCCTGCTTTTGGAAGGATCTTCTTGGCTGCCATTGACAACAGCCCATAGAGACAAGAGGCCCAGGGAGAGGAGTCAGGCAATCCCGCTGCAGTCAGGCAAAAGTCCACCATGGTTTGAACCAAGCCAGCGGCAATTTCTCTTGTTTAACGCTCACTCTCCCCACCCCAAAGTAGGTATTCTTATTGTCCCCACTTTATAGACAGGAAAGATGAGGCCTCAGCTCAAGAATGGCAGAGGGACTCCCTGATGATGCAGGAAGTAAAGATGAGGAGTATACTCAGGTGCCCAAGCACCTCAAGTTGTGCGAGACCAAAGGTCCTGTGTCCTGGGCAAACGGGTTAATTGGTCATCTGCAGGGGCGACTACCCAAAGGACCCAGGGAGACAGGTGGGGCTCCTGGGCACAGCCCTGAGGTCGGGTCCATCCCCCACCCCAGCTGGGACCCCATCCTGGGCTACATCAATGGACAGTATGAGCAGTACCTGCAGGAGGAGATCCTCATCACCCGCCAGCGCCACATCCCCGACACCCGAGTGCACTGCTGTGTGTACTTCGTGCCGCCCACTGGGCACAGGTGAGGTGGCTGGGCCGACCAGGGCAGAGAGGAGGAGTGGGGAGAGGAGAAGGAGGGGTTCCCGGCATGGGCTGTGGGCTGGCATCCCCTCACTCACACACTTGCTGCTGCCACTACCACCACCATCACTGTCCTGCCTGAGCAGCCTGCGGCCCCTGGACATTGAGTTTCTGCAGCGGCTGTGCCGGACTGTGAACGTAGTGCCTGTGATCGCTCGGGCAGACAGCCTGACCCTGGAGGAGCGAGAGAACTTCAGGCGCACGGTGATCTGGGTGCCTGAGGCGAGGATGGGGTTGGTGGGGTGGGAAGGAGCAAAGTGCATAGGTTGACCGAGGTTCCCGGGCCCCCAGATCCAGCACAACCTGAGGACTCACAGCATCGATGTGTACCCACAGCAGTGCTTCGATGAGGACATCAATGACAAGATCCTCAACTGCAAGATCCGGGTAGGAGGCCGTGGGGGCAGGGAGGCTAGCGGGACAAAGGCAGAGTGATTTTCTTCCCTCTCATTCTTTCCATCTGAAGATTATACTGGGAGAAATGTCATGTTTCTAGCAGATGTGAATCTCTAAGGTGAGCAAGAAGTCATAGCAACAACCCACAGAATAAGAGGAAATGTTTACAAATGCCATGTCTGATAAGGGACTTGTATCCTGATTGTAAGACGATCTCTTACAAATCAACAATAAAAGACAACCCAAGTTAAGAATGGGCACCGGCTCTTGAGTAGACATTTCCCCAAATACTTTATAGGAATGGCCAGTGAGCATATGAAAAGATGGAAAACAGTTTTGGAAAACAGTTGGACAGTCCTTCAAAAGGCGAAACACTGCCCCGGCTGGTGTGGCACTGCACCATGCACCGAGCGGCTGCTGGCTTCACACCCAGTCAGGGCACATGCACAGGTTGTGGGCTTGACTCCCAGTAGGGGGCATGCAGGAGGCAGCTGACCGACGTTTCTCTCTCTCTAAAATCTCTCTCTAAAATCAATAAAAAGACTAAAAAAAAAGGTTAAACACTGCTCAGCCAACTTGGCTTAAGTGGTTGAGCATTGACCTATGAGCCGGGAGATCACTGTTCGATTCCTGGTCAGAGCACATGCCCAGGTTGTGGGCTCGTCCCCAGTGGGAGTTGTGCAGGAAGCAGCTGACCAATGATTCTCTCTCGTCATTGATGTTTCAATCTCTCTCTCCTTCCTCTCTGAAATAATAATATTTTTTAAAAATAAAATATCTCAAAAAAATGAAAAGGTTAAATACTAAGTACCCTGTGACCCAATAATTTCTCTCCCAAAAGAAATTAAAACCTATGTCCATGTAAAAAACGTAAAATCAAATCAATGAGTCATTTAATCAATAAAGCCGGCAACTTCGAGGGAGATGCGGCTGCAAATCTCGCAGTGCCTGAGTGAGGGCAGGAGCCATCTTATAAAGGCAAAAACCACATCCTGCTAGACGTTGGAATGTGGAATTATCTTGCGAAAGCAGTTTTACGGAAGCAGAATTGAGCAAAGTTAATAATCTTTAAAGGTTATCTATAGTTTCAGTTCCTGGAGCCACTGAGTCACCGGCAAGTATTCCCAGAGCCACTGAGTTAAGGAAAGCAGTTTTGTGGTTCTGGTCCGCAGACACAGGAGAATACCTTCGTGATGTGGGCTGGCAACATAACGGGGTGATTTATGTGAGTTCCCAGGTCTCCATCTGGAAACTGAGTAACCACCTTATTGTTTAAGCAAGCAGGTGTGGAGAGGCCAGAACAGCAGGGTTACAATTCAAACCGCAGTTCTTACCCGAGATGAGCGTTACGGTGCTTCATTGCTTCACTGAGGGTGCAGTCAGTGTCAGTCCCCTGGAACTTGCGAAGCACCTGCCTCATCCATGGACACCAGACCTCAACCCCCGCCCCGGGGGCCCTGCCAGCGCTTTCGCTTGGACTAGAAAAAGGCAACAGCTGCCTTCCCAGTTGCGGGTGCACCCTGATTTCAGCCCTACACGGTCATGACCAGCTGCCTTTGTGCCCTGCACAAACTGCGCATCCATACATGGAGGCCCTGCTTCCCACCTGGCACCCAATTTCTCTACACATCCCCTCTCTCCCTCCCCACCGGAGCAAGGAACAGGATCCCCATGAAAGATTCAAAGCGCCCGACCTTCACCAGCTCTGCATTCTGTCCTGAGGCAGGCAAAGACGACAGCCTGGCCACAGCCTGAACAGAGCTAGACGGAGCACAGGGAGCCTTGGTTGCAGGCTCCCTCAAATTAATATCTCAGAACATTGATCCAGGGTTTAGTTGCTACCGGCAGGCGCATAAGACTTGTACAACAAATGGTTACTATTATTAGCATCAAATGACAAATTAATTCTAGCGATAACGACAAACCCATATACAGCACTTTGGAGTTTACAAGTTTGAATCTCCACTTCCAGTCAGGAGCAAGTAAACAACTAGAACTGAGTCCAGGGTTTAGCACACATTTCTGTGACAGGCCAGATGATGGTGAATACGGATTTTATGTGGGCCGAGCCGGCTCTCGCAATGACTCAACTCCGCTGTGGTAGCGTGAAAGCCACGTAGACAACAGTAACTGAATGGACAGGGCTTATGTGAAACTTCAGAGGGAAACAGGAGGTGGGCCGGGTTGCCTGTGAGCCAGATGTGGCCAACCCTGGTTTACCAAGTTATCATGTTGAATGTGATCACTGTTCCTGTTTCATAGGTAAGAGACTGGCCTCAGCAAGATTTTAGTAACGTGGCTATTAGTAACCACAGTTTCCAAGGGCTACTCTGCTAGCCCATCATAATGCTAAGCACTTCCCAAACATTCACAAAGCTCTAAGTCAGTGCTATTAAGACTCTCACTCTAAGATATGGAAACTGAGGCACTGATTCGACTTCGCATCTTCTAACTCATTAATATCTTGTGCTCCTTCTACCACTTTCCCCACAAAAGACAGCCCCACCCCCCACCGCGGGATCTTTACTCTCCATATGCCTGGCAAGGCCAACCTTCTGGTCTTGTCCCCTCCCCAAAGGACCGGATCCCCTTTGCTGTGGTCGGGGCTGACCGAGAGCACATGGTGAACGGGAGGTGTGTGTTGGGCCGGAAGACAAAGTGGGGCATCATTGAAGGTCAGTGCAGGAGCTTGGGGAGGACACCGGTGAGAATGGGCTGGAAACCAGGACACACCCTCTTGGCTTTGGGACCCTTAGCGCCTGTCACAGGGCCCTAGTGATTAAACCCACAACCAGGGAAGAGACAGACCTGGGATCAAGCCCCTTTACAGCTGGGAGGCCTCAGGCAAATTACTGACACTCTGGACTTCAGTTTCCTTTTTGTAAAAATCCTTATTTATTTTTCCATTGATATTTAGAGAGAGTAAAAGGGAGGGAAGAGAGAGAGAGAGAAACATGGATGTTAGAGCGACACATGGATTGGTTGCCTCCCACACACACCTCGAACAAAGCCAGGGATTGAGCCTGCAACCAAGGTACATGCCCTTGACCAGAATCGAACCCGTGACCCTTCAGTCCGGAGATCAACAGTCTATCCACTGAGCCAAACCAGCTAGGGCTGGACCTCAGTTTCTTCACAGAAAAATGAGCATGATAGTAACATAAATTTCATATGATAGTTGGAGGGGGCAGAGCCACCACTTTGGACAGTGTTCAGCAACCATAATTTATTGAAGGCCTACTATGTGCCAGGCATACTATGTGCTATTCCTAAGAGGGAGACAGGGAAAATAGGACCAACAAGATGGCAAGATGACGACAGGTGGGAGAAGCATGATGAAGGAAATACGTGGGATGGGAGAGGTGGGCTACCTCAGGGAGCAGAGAAGGATAAAGATAAGACTGTCAGGTAAAGGAGCAGTAATCAGAGCCTGAGTCCTGATGTAGCAATATAATTATTAAAAGTAAAATATAATATGTATTATTCTTATGTATATACTATATTATCTTATGTATATTATACTATATATAAAATAATGTATGTACATTATATTAAATGTATATTTATATACATTATATACAATATGTTAAATATATACTATATGTATACATTATATTATACCATATATACACCATAGTATACATTATATTGTATATACAATATAATATATAAGATAAGCGATCAGTGGATTGACTGATCTAACAACTATTTGTAGGAGCCACCTGTACCAGCCACTGGGATCACAGCAATGAATGAATCAATGAATCAATCAATCAAGAATGGGAGGTGGGCCCTGGGTGGTGTAGCTCAGTGGTTAGAGCACTGGCCCACAAACTGAAGGGTCTCAGGTTCGATTTCCAGTCAAGGACACATACCTGGATTGCTGGTTCGATCCCTGCCCTGGTGAGGGTGAGCACAGGAGGCAATCAATCAATCTGTGTCTCTCACATCGATGTTTCCGTCTTTCTCTCTCTGTGTCTGCCTCCCTCCCTTCCTTCCACTCTCTAAAAATCAATGGAAAAAAATATCCTCAGGTGAGGATTAACAACAAAAAAGGAATGGGAGGTGGGATAAGACAGTAAGAAATGTGGGGGAAAGATGGTGGTGGGTACAGGTGGCATACAGTAGGCGCTTACTTGGTGCTAAGTATCCTATCTTGCAGTGGAGAACATGGAGCACTGTGAGTTTCCCCTCCTGAGAGACCTGCTCATCCGGTGAGGGTGCAGGGAGCCCAGGGGCAGTGGTGGGCAGGGGGTGGCAGTGGCCAGCTCAGGCTGACCTGCCGTCCCTCTCCCAGTTCCCACCTCCAAGACCTGAAGGACATCACCCACAATGTCTACTACGAGAACTACCGTGTCTGCAGACTCAACGAAAGCCACATGCTGCCCCGGGGGCCCGGCTGGGTGAACCTGGACCCGACCCCTGCCAGTGCCCCGGCCATCCCCGGGCCCTCCAAGGGGTGCCGATGGGCCCAGGGCAATCCCTCCGAGGACTACTGAACACAGCACACCCCGGGCCACTTGGGCTTCCCAAGTGCTCAGCAGCCCCCCCCCCCAACACCTGTGTCCTAGGACATATATTAAAGGTGGACATTGCTTTTTATGACAAGCTGTGCTTTGAAAACAAAAGGAGTTTTGTAAATGACTTCTTTGAGCTACCCTCAAAAAAAAGATGGGTTCTTTTTTAAGTAACAGCATGACACCCAGGCCCCGGGGCGTCATGAAGCCCTGGGGCGGGGGGGTGCCTTGATGATGGACTCCCTTCTGCCCCAGAACTAGAGTCGAGTTCTAAATCAGACTCTGCCCTTCATCCTGACCCTCCCTCCAGCCCAGGGCCGGGCCCAGGGTGTCATAACACTCCCATCTTTGACCATCTTCCCCCAACACTGTGCCCCTGCCCCTGCCTTCCTACCCTGCCGACCAGCCCAGTGAGACACAGCTCCAACTCTGGAGTCTGGCAAAGCTGATGGGCATCCCGGTGCCACGTGATCTTCAGCAAGTCACTTGCTCTTCCTGGGCCTCAGTTTAATCTATAAAATGGAATGGTAGCATCGCTCTCATAGTGTTGTGCGAACAAATTTGAGTAATTTGTGTAATGTGCCTGCCAAGGCCTGAGGTGAGGGGAACAGGAGAGAGCTTGGTTGGGGTGGAGGATGTGCCAGCAGAATGTGTGAGCACTTCCCAGGACTTTCCAGAAACCTGGAAAATAAAGGGACTTCAGCCGGCTGGGCTGGGCTCAGTGGCTGAGCATCGACCTAGGAACCAGGAGGTCACAGTTCGATTCCTGGTCAGGGCACATGCCCGGGTTTCTGCCTCGATCCCCAGTGTGGAGCATGCAGGAGGCAGCTGATCAATGATTCTCTCTCATCACTGACGTTTCTATCTCTTTCTCCCTCTCCCTTCCTCTCTGAAATCAATAAAAATGTATTTTAAAAAATAAAATAAAGAGAAAATAAAAGGATTCCATAGAAGCCTGCCTGGTTGGGGCCTGAAGCTCGGTTAGTATGGTTAACCAAAGGATAAGTGACTCCTATAATCCAAAACCCAAGCGCCTGGAGGTAGAGAGCATGTGGTGAGCTCCCAGTGAGTGACAATGGGTATATTGGGTCCTTCAGAAAACAGATCCAATAGGACATGTACTAGTATATGGAGATATACAGTATGGGAATTGGCCTACACAGTTACGGAGGTAAGAAGTCTTAACGATCTGCCATCTGAAGCAGGAGACCCAGAAAACCAGTGGTGTTGTTCCGTTGGAGTGGGAAAGCCTACGAATCAGGAACCAATGGTATAGGTGCCTGCCGGAATCCAAACACCCGAGACCCAGGCTTTCTGATGTCCAAGGGCAGAAGATGGATGTCTCAGCTCTAGCAGAGAGAGCAAATTCCCCCTTCCTTTGCCTTTCCGTTCTATTCAAGCTCTCCATGGACGACTGGATGATGCCCACCTGCATTGGGAGGGTGATCACCTAGACTCAGTCAACTGAATCAAATGCGAATCTCACAGACACACTCAGAAATAATGGTTTTGTTTGTTTTTTTTTAATATATTTTATTGATTTTTTACAGAGAGGAAGGGAGAGGGATAGAGAGCCAGAAACATCGATGAGAGAGAAACACCGACCAGCTGCCTCCTGCACACCCCCCACTGGGGATGTGCCCGCAACCAAGGCACATGCCCTCGACCGGAATCGAACCCGGGACCCCTGAGTCCGCAGGCTGACGCTCAATCCACTGAGCCAAACCGGTTTGGCCAGAAATAATGTTTACCAGCCATCCGGGCGTCCTTTAGCCCAGGCAAGTTAACACAAAATTAACCATCACACCAGCTAAAAGTGTTTTTTTTTTAACTGAATTTATTGGGGTGACATTGGTTAATAAAATCATATAGGCTTCAAGTGACACCAGCTAAAAGTTACCTTCTCCATGAATCCCTCCTTGATTTCCCAGGTCAACGTACTGGCTGCCCGCTCCCTGCATACATCATAGGGTTTGTTTTCTGGTCAAACTCCCTGTTAGACTGGGAGCTTGGTGAGGGCAGGGATATGTCAGCTTCATTCTGCACCTGACAGGTCCTCAAGATCCAGGTCCTGTTACATAAATGAACCCTTCAGTACCTGCCCCCATAACCATTTACCCATCAGATTCACAACGCAGTTGACTCCAGGTTTGAGGGGACCCACACCATCCACGCCAACATCTCAGAGTTGGTGTGTTGCTACATAGGGACTGCACACGTTTCCGAAGTTAATATTAGCCCTAGGCAACTTGGCAACGTCTACATTTTTAAAGCAAATGCCCTTTGGCTGAGCAAATGTAATTCTAGGGACGCATCTTATAGACCAGGGTTTCTCAACCTCACTATTGACATTTGGAGATGGGTCATTCTTTGCTATCAGGGCTGTTCTATGTATTGTAGGATGTGTAGACTAGAGCATTTCTGGACCTCCATGCAGGAGATGCCCGTGGCACCACCCACCCAATTGTGACAATCAAAAATGTCTCTAGACATTGCCTGATGTCCCCTGAGGGATAAAATCTCCTCGGCTGAAAGCCGCAGAGAGTGGTACCTAGGACAGTAAAGGCGTGAAGTAGTCTACCCGTCCACCAGAATGGACTTGAAAGTAAGTCATAGGACATCCATACCCTGTGTATTATTTCCTTCTGGACGCTGTGACAAATTAGCACAAACAGGGAGGCTGAAATGACAGTTAATTTTGTCATAGTTCTGGAGATCAGAAATCTGAAGTTAGTATCACCGGGTCCAGATCAAGGTGTCAGCAGGGTGGTGCTGCCTCTGGAGGCTGTAGGGGAGAATCCATTGACCAGTGTTTGCTTTTACAAGCTTCCAGAAGCAGCCTGCATTCCTTGGCTCATGGCCCCTTCCTCCACCTTGCTTCAGTTATCACATTGCCTTCTGCAGCCAGATGTCCCTCTGCCTTCCTCTTATAAGGACCATTGTGATTACATTGGACACGCTGGGATTATCCAAGATAATCGAAATCCTCAATCACATCTGCAAAGTCTCTTGTCATATAAGATAACATATTTATAGGTTCTGAAGCAGGAATTGGATGCTGTGGGGGGCAATTCTTCAGCCCACCACACCATGGGATATAACATGGTCCTTAAAAAAAATGAAGTAAGGCAAACACGGCATGTCTTCACTTATATGTGGAATCAAAGAGTTGAGCTCATAGAAACAAAGTAAGGTGGTGGTTGCCAGGGGCTGGGGGGGGTGGGGGGGGATGGGGAGACATAGGTCAAAGGGTACAAACTTTCAGTTTTTAGATTAGTAAGTTCTGGAGCTCTAATATACAGCACGGTGATTATAGTTAACAATACTGTATTATATAACTGAAAGTTGCTAAGAGAGTAGGTCGTAAATATTCTCACCACACATACACAAAGATAACTATGTGTTAACTAACTTTATTGTGGTAATCATTTCACAATATATTCATATATCATCTTAAACTTACACAATCTTACTTGTCAATTACATTTCAACAAACCTGGAAGAGAAAAAAAATGAGGCAGCTCTACAATCATCCATGGGTTCTTTCTACGAACAGATCTCCAGGGCCCACTATATGCTGCTACAGAGGCTGGGTTAAGCGAGGAACAAAACCAAGTCACTGCCCTCCGAAGCGTGCACTTGGGTGGGGCAAAATGACAATAAACAAGACAAGTCAAATGCTGAGCATGTTGTACTGTGATGGACGCTCTGGCACCAAATAAGGCATTTACTGTCTAGGATTGAA